TTAGAGAGGAACGAAGTATAGTATCGTCGTGATGACGCGACGCCGTGAATCTGTCCTGCCTGGAGTTCGTAAGCGGTTGCCCTTCAGCGATGTCTAGACGCGAGCTTTTCTCCTTCGTCTTTCCAGCACTCCTTTGTGCGTCTGTTCAGCTCTTGGTACGAAACTTTGCTCTCAGGTGGCTGTGGATTATTTCCTCTGATGCTCTTTCAAAGGTTTTACCATACAAAATAATGTTTCTCGTCTTTCTTAAAGCTTGCAACTGAATTTTCATCTTTAGAACAAAAGTAATTTGAAGAGTAATGAGTAATTTTCTCGAAATTACTGCCCGAAAGTAATTCGTTCCATTACTACATTACTTGCCTAAAGAAATAATTCATTACATTACTCACTACTCAAAAAAAGTAATTTAACTACTGTAATTAAATTACAGTAATGTCATTATTGCCATCTCTGATTCCTAATGAGTAAATTAAATAGAATCGATATTGAGTTTCTTGTAACCAAACTTAATTGCATTCCTAATAAGTCAATTCAAGATAATCTGTACTGAGTTTCTTATGACCAATTGCGATTGCTTTCCTAATGAGTAAATTCAATAGAATCGATATTGAGCTTCTTGTGATCAAACTCCTTAGACGCTTAGTTTATATTGAGTTTAAATTGACTCTATAGGAACACATTAGAAACTTAATTGAAACTCACTGATCATTTTTGTAGGGGCGCGCTTGTATCGGTAGCCGCCACATGTCGAGATGAATATAAAAAAAAAAAATAAGCATCACAACCTGTATATGTACTTCTCCAGAGCAGTTTTTTCACATTTCTACCCGAAACACAAAAAGTTATAAATAGAAGCTACAGTAACTCGACGTAATACGACTTTTTCTCGCACTCTTCCCCGTCGCTGACCGGGATCTCGGAAACCATGACCACTTTAGACAGGTTGAAGAGCCATCCGGAAGATGGAGCCAGCGATTCGGAGGGAGAGATAGAGTGCCTAAATCTGCGAGAGAAAACAACTAAAGCCGTAGAGAGCTCTTGCATTTTAATCGCGGACGCCTCCCACAAAACGTCGGTGGACTAGCACGCGCTTGAGTTATCGCGTGGTGAGGAGGACAGTGAGTGGAGAGGCCGAGTTGAGCAAGGAGACGCTTACAGAGCATCGACACCATCGCCAACTCCTAGTACTCATCTATTGGAAACGCTGCCCATAAACCGCGTATCCACAATCGAGCGGTTGGAAGCGCTCTGATATCTAGGCACACTAGTTAGGGTCGACGTCGACGACAGGCAGAGAGCGAAGACGGAAGCCGCACGGAACCTCAATTTAAGCGTGATAGCGTTAAGGAGCTCGCGTCCCAGAAAACCCGGTGTCACTGGCGTGACGCGAAAATCCTGATTGGCCGATAGGGTCACGACGTCACAGCCTCGCTCGGAAATTTCAAACACCCCACAACGCTCACGTGAAACCTAACGTCACGCTTGAAATGAAAGTGATTAAAAAGCAGGGCACGTCAATCGAATTAAAGGTCGCCGCATGCCTCAAATAATTTCACTATATAGAGTAATTCATTTGCACTAAAGGAAAAATTTCAAGAATTTTAGGCGGGATTCGAACCCACGACCCTTCGGTTGGGAGCCAGACATGTTACCACGCTTGCATGCTTGAGAGCGAGCGTGAGTTTATATGTTTATATGTTTATATCTGTTCCCGTTTAGCCGAAGGGAGGCGACAGTGGCGACGAGACAATCCGGAGATGAGATAGCGTCTCTCGTCTCGGAGTGAGATCGCATCTCCGAGCGTGAGAAGAAATATAGAAGGCTCTGTGAAAGGGGGCCCGATAAGGCTATTTCGTTCAACTCTTAAAGGTGAAGCTTCAGCGTCCTCCAAGTTTTTTAGCCGATGCACGATGGCCATCGGCTTTAATAAATAATTCCCTTAAAACACCCACAATCAAGCCGCATCGACGTGTTAAAATTCCAGAGCTATTTGCAAATAATTAAGCTGCATTTTATGCTCCTGCGTTGCTACTATAATGTTTGCATCTTGAGACGTACATACTTAGCCCTAAGCTACATACCTGGCATCACGTCCAAACGGGCGAAAATTTCAAACAGAATGTTGAGCTTGTCATAGAGCAATGACAGTAAAAATCACATTGCTTGAAAAATCAATGAAACAACGTGCTTTAGATGGAACTGAAGGGTGATCGTTCATTCAAAATTCAAGCAGGCCGCGATCACGAAAAAGTGTAGTTCTTAAGTTTAACTCCTCATTGTACGCGCTCCTCTTATAAGCCCAGATTTCTTCTCGTTATAATTGATGCAAAGATTATGATTCCTATTATTCGATGTTTTCTGGAAGCAATTTCTACAGGCTAAGGTATCGGGATCGCCTTGTTTTCAGCAATGCACGCCGGAAAGCCAATCGCTGCCATATACAGAGGAACCTCGAGAAACGACGAAATTACAAATCTCAGCATACCTTAAAATAAAAAAACAAATTAGTGCCTACGGTCTGGTACAAGCGGGGCGTTTCATACCGAACGCAGAATAATTGCTTTTTGTATTAATTCTAAAAAAAAAAAAATGTTTTTCTTTTTTTAAATAATTTATTATATGACACTGCGTAAATACTCAGTAGTTTAAAATGTTTCCAATTCACTCAATGTACGTCCAATGCCGCTCTTACTGCAATTCGGATAACTGCCTCAGAGCGGCGTCACGGCCCTGCGACAAAGTCAAATTTGGGAGTTCTAGGTGCCAAACCAACGACGGGCATCTGGCACGCCCTAGCGGAGGACTGAGTATTAATTTGGACCACCTGGGGATCTTTTAATGTGCAACCGAAAGCTCGGTTACACGGCGTCTTCTCCGCAATAAGCCTCCGTTAGATTGCGGGCACCTCGCCCGGATTCGAACCCGCCACATGGAGATCCGTTGGCCGACGCTCTCGCCTCGGAGCCACCGAGGCGGCTTCATGGCCCTGCGACAGATTTGGTCCTGGCAATCATAATTATGCATCTTATTTTTTTCTTTCGCAGGATACGTTTGAAGTTTGAGTCAACGGTGATGAACCATCAAGTCTTCCGGGGATAATAGTCTTCCGGGGATTAAGTGGTGACGACATTACAATGCATTAAATAGGTCTATTAGTGCATGGATTTCTGCCATTTTGAAAAAAATTAGTGCAAACCAGCTAACAATACAAAAGGACCGAACAGCGTTACTGTACTGCCGATAGCGAGGCAGAACTATTTTAGTTCACTTCTGGATGACGTAAAAATCTTCAGCTGATTTTTTTTTTAGAGAGCAGCATTTAGGTGCCCGTTTCCGGCTTAAACGGCGTAGCGGTCGCCGTCGGCGTGACCGCGCGTTGCATTATGGGACGTTCCCATGATGACGTCACACGTGATGTCACAGGGCGCCTACGGGAATATTTCCCTGGTAAATTTGCCGAGAAAATTTTCCCGTTAAATTTAGCGGAAAAAGTTCCTCGCTAAATTTAGGGGGATTTTTTTTCCGCTAAATTTAGCGGAAACGTTTTTTCGCTAAATTTAGCGGGAAAATATTCCCGCAAACTTTAGCGCAAAAACTTTCTAGCTGAAATAATTCCCCGCTGAATTTAGCGGACAAATTTCCCCGCTAAATTTAGCGGTAAATTTAGCGAGCATTTCCCGCTAAACCGGAGGGGAGCAGAGGATCTGGAGGAGAGGGGGAGGAGGGGCATACCCTCCCCTCCGTACCCTCCCCTCCTCTTCCTCAAGAGCAGAGCTCTAATTCGGCATTACAGAGAATTGTAAACGTCTTTAATTCTTTTTCCTCTCGTTTTTCAATATTTGATTTATTTAAAGTGTGTTTCGATGAACCTGGAAGCAAAAAGAGTAGGTCAAAATATTGGTTTTAACATCCGTCCTGTGACTCTCAAACAGGCATTTCAGCGACCAGTCATTGACTTTCGTTCCTACTAACTATAGAGCACCAATGAATTTAGAAAACGCTTTGATCGCAGGAATCTGGAAGAACACGGCACCCACTGTGAATGTTTCGAGGTTTAAGAAGCAAAACAAGAAATTCTACTCTTCTCTGTACGCAAACTGAAAATAAGAACCTTTGCAGTTCAAGACGCCTTTTTATCGCAGTCACAGTGGCGAAGCTAGCTAAAACGAGAAGCGACTGGCATGCGCTGACGCCTGGACTCGTTATCTCCAAATAATGTGGGTTAAAGTTCGTCTACGGCACCAAGTTAAAATATCCATAGCACTCTGCCTATCGGTGATGGGCTCCCACTTCTCACCGCATACAATAAATAAAATATCCGGTCTAAGAAGAATAGCTGAAACTCAGAAATACTGAACTTAGATCCTTAGGGCGTTTGCAAGACTTGACATTTAGAGGCTTGACAGGATGAGAGGCGGAGTTATGAACAGAAGCGGAACTTCCTTGCCAGCTTGTTTTCGTAGCAAGTGTTTTCGAAACTCAAATTCCGCCGAAGCCGTCAACATATTGTTTCCTATAACGACAGAAATACAGAAATAACTCCCGTACATGTGAAAGTGGTAATTTGTATTTCAAATTCGAAGCTATTTAGGAAATCAACTCGGTATTGCAAAAACTCGTCTAGCGTTCCAATGACGTGGCTTTAATTGCAATGCGCTGGCTACATTTTCTTACAAAAAAACTCGCCTTGATCCAGGGTAGTTACCATTTGAGCGCTTGCACATTCCACGTCGAGGACTAGTATTGCCACGTACATAGAAAGCAAGAATCCTAAACAAAGGATGCGGCAATATAGCAAGAAAATGGAAAGTTATATCACAAATGTTAGTTTGAAAAATCGTGAAAAAAGAAAACAAATATTTCCGAAATGAACGAACATTCGCGTCATCAGTTAGCAAAAATACAAAAAGCTCTAAAGAAATGATTTGTTGAAATTTCCTGCTTTAGGAGCACATCCGTTATTGACATCATTCCTCGCTATTCTATCTAAAGAAACAGACATGAGTAATCCTGTGTTTCAGTGTATTTTGGGAATCGCAGTTTTGACAGTTGGAGGGACGACACGATGTCGCAAAGAACTATTTGCCGAACGTTTAGGAAGGTACCCAGACGCTTGGAGGGTAAGTCCCGATGGACGACTTCTACCTTATCATATTTATGATTGATATAAAAGCTATTTAAATCATCAAACAAGTTGAATGAAAATTGAGGTTATGAGCAGATAAAGACTTCAGAATTATCGTTTCTTTCTTTTCTTAGGAATAATAGCACTTCGTTCCTTTAATCTACATCACAGTTCAACGAGACAATGCATTGATGTGTTTCAGGTGCATCTGAAGGTCGTGTAAATTGGTAAAAAGATGAACATTAATTTCCGTTATTTTTAATACAAATTAAGATATAACGTTTCAATTTAAGTTCGGCTTTACTGCAAGAGTAATTTGAGATATATTCCGTCTATTTCTAAAAAAGGGGTATTTCAATGATTTAAATTTTTCACTAGAACTTAAAGACTTTACCACTTTGCAGCTTCCACACGGGTCTTGAGCATTATTTAAGACACAATAATAAAGAACGCGAACACTATCTATCCCCACATCGTTTTTCTTTTTTTTTTCTTCGTTCATACGTAGTGGAGTGTATTTTAAATTAAGAATGTGAACCTATTTTGGGAACGTCTTGTAAGCAAAACATATTTTACATGAAATATCCTACGAACAATTTTAATCACGTTTACCTTTAGAACCAAAGCATACTATTTTACAATATAGAAAATACAAACAAAAGAAGGAAAAGCGAGTTCTCACATCCAAACCATTCAGTGAATAGCTACGAAGTAGGCGATCTCTTAACATATTCGCAGTGTTGCGGTAACTTGTTACAAGTACCGGCATTACAAGTAGCACGTTACTTTTTTTTCGGTAACGGGTAACGCACCCGTCACATTTTAATACAGTAACGGGTAACATACTTAAGTTACATATTTCGAGTAATGTGTAACGTATTTACGTACATATACTTCCCAAAACTTAAAAACAAATTGCACTGAAATATTTTTTATCTGTCTAGGCGTCAATTCATGTGAATTTTCGAGGTTTCTGCGTTTTTCTTTGTGTTTCATTTCGTGAGTATTTAGGTGAAGCCGTCAAAAAAAAAAAAGGTAATTATGTTTAGTTTCGACATGGGACCATTTGTTTCTTGAAAGCATTTTCGGATATCTTTTTGGCGATTTGATTGAACAGGGTTTCACGCACGCCTTAGGCCACGTTGCCTAAATTTCAGCCGAAACCGGCGCTTGTGTGCCACACAAATCAATTAAACAGTCAAGATAATAATCGTACCGGGATCGACTGGGGCGACGCCCCAAGAGTTGCAAGAGAAGCCAGGAGAAGCGGAGCTCACGTGACCGATGCGGGGCCAAGAAGTGCGACGTCACAAGAGACGCGTCAGTGATTGGTCGAAATGAGAGATGTGCCCTCGGTCACGTTTTGGTTCGCGATTCTTAGGAAACAAGTTCTAATTTCCGCTTGAATAACCATGAAAAGTATAAATCGGACCGGAAATGATTACTAAACCAAACAGCATAATTGTTTTTCTCTTTGCTACGCTGAACGCGAAACGGGCAACGAGCAACTATGGGCAAAAAATAACATAAAAAAGGAACACGGTTTCAGATGTCGGTGCCGTGTTTACTTTGGGAACACTGTACTCGGGAAGGATTCTGCAAAATCGTAGTCATGCCAAATTTGTGCGCTGTAGATGGCTGTTCTAACGGTCGACTGAAGACCAGTATTTGTTCGGGCGACGCTAGTTTCACGTGTGTGTTGCTGTACGTGTTCTTTGACGACGAAAAGAGAGGACGTCCAACTTCGGTGAAAACCATAAATGGTGCTGTTTATTTTCTCCTTCTTGGGGAGCGTCCCCTGCGGAGGAACCGGTTTCCGGAACGGCCGGGTCGTTGCCACTTTCCCCTCGACATCTCCCCCGCGTCCCTGTCCTTCGGCAACGCGCCGCTCTCGTCTCGCCCGCGCGAATAGGAAGTTTTCGTAGATCGTTTTCGCCGTCCCGCAAGGCCCTCCGCAACCCGCTACGATAGCGGGAATTCCATAGTCAAGGCTACGGGCGCGCAGGCGCAGTATCAACTTCTTCGTTGCGGAACGCTTAGCGGAGGAGGCAGCGCGGTCTACGAAAACTCCCTATTGTCGGAGCCTACGGGCCGCTCGTTGCCGGCTGGGCGGTCTCCGTTGGGTGATGGCGGAGGCCGCCACACACGTACTCCCGTTTCGTTGATGTTGGGTCACTGAACGGAAGCCCGAACTCGCTCGTGAGAGCGGCATTGTCGTCCATGTTGACAGATTCGACGAAACGACTGCGCCACCGCGCTGCTATGACCCACCGCGGTAACCAGAGTCTCGTACTCCTAAATACTACCGGTACCGACTATTGATACTTAAGGTCACTCCCTGCGTCACCTCCGTTTTCGGAAGTCCAGAAATAAGAATGTAGATAGTTCAGTTTCGGTTTCTTCAGTTCTTTCGTAGGCACAGAAATACGCGTCTCAAATGTCTGCAAAAAATTAGGCAGCGTGCTAGGTTTCCAAGAAGTCTAAAAACACAGTTTAAAAAATTAAATAAAATCGTCTTTATTGTCTCTTTAAGCATACCTGTACCGTCAAAGCTGCAAAACGGGTAAGTTTATAATTGAACAAGTAACGCAAAAGTAACCTGCGTTACTTTTTTATCGGTAACGGTATCGCGTTCCTTTTACTTTGAAGTAACGTAGGTCGGTAAGGCGTTCCTTTTATTTGCAAGTAATGAGTAACGTATGTCGGTACTTTTTCTTGGTAACGACTACAATGCTGCACCTTCGCATATTAGCGTTTGTAAGACATCCTAAAGTTTTCTCTTAAATAATCATGAGTACAATCATTATCTAGAATTCCCACAATGACTAATCACTTTTTATCATCTGTGTCGTACCAGATGACAACATTTCGTAAAACAGGTGAGCGCGAACGAACAAAGTATACTATCCCGTACAATATGAACTGTAACATACCTCCATCATTTTCTGGAGTTGCTGCAGGTTTAAAAAAGAACTTCGTTCAAACTATTTGATGGGACGCGAGCTTGGATCCCATTATTTGAGTTCTACGACACAATGAGAGGTAAAGGAAAGTTATGAGAATTGCACGAGCAGAAAAAGGCCGGATCGAGTTTTCCAGCTTACATGGTTCGATTCGAGGAATGCACTACACACAGCGAGTTACTATATTTACCAAGGTCATTAATGCAAGCACGTCTTTTTTCAGATTCTGAACAACACGGCAGATCAATTCTTTTTGGCATTTTATTCATTCAGTTCAGAAACGGGATCAAGCCAAACATGCTTGCACACAATTCGCCGTACCATCGAACAAACGAAGCCTTGGATGTACAGATTAGTCTACGGACATACACTGGACAATACCACTTTGTACGTAAGCATTATATGACCCTGGACAAATGAAAAACAAAAACTATCATATGCAGCCCAGGGTCATTGTAGTTATTATAACAACTGTGGATGACTTATTGTTTTTGTCATCAGGCTACCCTGACATTGTAAAGATAAACTAAGGTTTCACCATAGCCAACTTTACCTTCAAACTGGGTTGGGGGAACACGTGAGTGCCTTCTGGGTAAAGCGTGTTACTTTCAGCGTATATGGACTTAAATATGCCTACACTTCTACTTCCCCGCAGAGTACGCGGAACAGCAACAATCAAAGGTAACCTTCAAAATGTGTCTAGCAAAGTTCCGGGAGGAAAATGAAGGTTTATGTTTAAGATATGTTTGTCGCATGAAGATTGAGCAAGGGAAATGTCACCCTCAATATCGCTATAGAAAAGGCATTTTTGAGATAAAAGCCTTTTTTTTTTTAGTTGAAGATTTGCTAGATGGTGTTTGCAGGTTTCCCTGATTGGTCCAAACACTCGTGTTAGGTGATATTCAACGCGGAGACAGTTTTTTTTAACGACTTGCACATCTTCCTGCTACTTGTCGTAAATTAAGGTCAGGGGTGTCTTATAAAGTGGGATTTTAATACAAGACTGTTACAAATAATTCATACCAAGAAAGTATCAGCTTTACAAAATATCGTTCTCTTGTTTTTTACAGGTGGAGTGGCAACGTAGAGGTTGGAATAACTAAAACAAATGAGTCCCTCGTTTTTGATGACGCCTTTAACACGACATACAAACTACGAGGTAAATAACATGCAATGTCTACTACAAACTGCAAACTGTCAACAACAAATTGTTGTTAATTTAGTTACGCTGAAATTGAAATTATATAGGTGTCCAGGAGGTTTATCTCAAAACGCAACGTTAGAACAAAAACCGCACGACGCCTGTGTTGTGAATGGCACCCGAAATCGACATTGAATGACAAGCCAATGACGAATAAAGCATTTTTGTCCATAGAAACTACGTTACTTCCAAATGGATTAACGCCAGGTAATGTACTTCTATGTCGAATGCATTGTAAGTACAAAATTACAGAGGAATTAGTTTACTGATGCAAAAATAATTACTTTGGATATCCGTAGTAAAACTGTTCTTATAAATATTTTTATTTTAAGGCGGGTGAGATGTCAGTTTTTTTTTTTTTTGTGGAAAGGACTTGGAACGTGATTCACAAAATCCGTTCTGTAGAAAAATAAATAGTGCCGCACTCCAGAAGAAACTTCGGAAATCAAATGCTACGGTATGCGCTCCCCTGTTTTTAAATCGTTTAGACACACTGAGAATAGATAATATTTGTGCAACTAGGAAAATATATAGGCAAGATATTTATTTAGGGATCTGTCAGAGTTTAAATACTCGAATGCAAACTGAATGCATGTTACTATTATTGTACATTAATTTGTTTTCTTATATTTTTATGACTGGGATTCTGTTAAACTGTGTTTCCTTATTTTTCTGGTCTGCTTTTGGTGTTGTTATTGAGAAAGGCAGAGGCTTTGTCAAGAAACTACCAAGTCCCTCATTTTTTTCTCTCCCCTTTCTTAATTTACAAAAAAAAAAATAAAAAAAAAAATTAAATTTGCACTGTAAATTCAGCGAAAAAAGTGCCTTATACCCATAATTCCCCCACCGATGCATCAGAAAAAAAAGCGCGAAGAGTTTGTGGGTTTGCTTAATAATAGTACCTTAAGCTTTTACAACAAAAACGATGTTCAAAAGTTGTGAAAAAGAGCATGACAAGCCCCAAGCCATGTAAACCAACCAGAAACCATTATGGTAGAATAGCAGAAATAAGAGTTGTGGCGCAGGCTAGCTGGTGAACGTTCATACTTGAAAAAATCCCAAGACGAGGGAAAGAAAGGGACCAACACAGACTTCGTTGTGTTTGTCCATTCCTTTCCCTTGTCTTTTTTTTTTTTTTTCTTTTTCAATTATGATGGTACAATGCTTTCTTGACGACCGGATAGCATTATTATATTTTGTGTGGGTGTAGCTCTTAGTTTACTCCATGCCAACACTACTCGCAACAAAGATAATACAGAAAAGGAGCTTGACAAATCGGCGTCAAAGCACCTTAAAACGCTAGGAGCTTGCCTATAGCAAGATTCTACTTTACCAGAAGCAGTAACAGATATATCATTCGTATTCAAATTTCTTGAAAGGTCAGATAAGCTATTTGATAAGACAAAGAGAAAGATTCCACGTCCTGCCAATGTTTAGTTGTACTCAACAAGGGTCACACTCCTATGCTTGGTTTCAGCTGAAGTCCAAACGCAGCCGACACCTCGAGCTTAATGGGACAAATCAAGCAGCATCAAAAGCTCAAGACACTGGACCTTTTTCTGTTTATGATGGGTTCACCGAACATTAAACATGTACAGAAACGTGACGAAGACCATTATGGTGCGTTCTTGACGCTGTCTGAATGGTCATATCTGCTCGTAGCGTCGTCCGCGTCTGGACTGAAAGTGAAACGAAGTATTGGACGATATTACTCTTCTTTTAATCTTGGAGCGTAGCTTAATTACGTTTGCGTAATTTTCTGGAAGACTCAAAACTTCGCATTCTTCAATCAAAAGTCAAATAAATAGCTCAACTATACCCAGAGTAACGATGCATCATCGGTACTGTAAGTGTAATCTAACTGTTATTCATTTGGTAACCAAGCTGCTCCATCTTTTATAGTTGGCGGCAAAGATTTTAGATTTGAAGACAGACAAGACATTAGCGAAATAATTTACACGAATTTCAACACCTGCATAGTCATGCATTCGGAATTACTTGGTAAGTGACAGTGTCACATAACATATTACGCATAGCGTTATCTCGAAACGTTGTTTAAATTTGTTCATTTCTTGCTCTTTGACAAATCTGTTTACCATAGTCACTGAAAGAAACAGAAAGGCCGAGTGGACTGCCGGTTGTCCCGCCTTTAGCGTGATTTTCCTATCTTCGATAGCAGGTCGGTATCTCGTGACCTTCGAGCGTGCACGCCAAAGTCAAAGCACCACGCATGACAACGAGCATGTGCGGGATGTTGACATCCGAAAGACACGCCCTGAGCTATATAGCGCCGAGACGTTTTGGTGGCGCTCTGTTATGGTTTCCTTTCGTGACGTCAAGACCGGGATTTGCCATGCCGTGATTGGCAGGATTTGCCTCGCTGTGAACCGGCGACATGGCAGGCATGATGATAGATAATACGGGAAGCTATGGTTCGGCCAATCGTGAACTGCGACCACAACGACACTTTTGGTCGCGCGCGTCTTCAATAGCTTATGATTATAAAGCTCTAGTTACTAAGTGAATTGTGCACATATATGGTTTGTTTTAGAGCGCAGCATCTTTGGCGCGCGTTTCCGGGTTGAGCGGCGTCGCCGTCGGCATAGCCGTCGGCGTCGGCGTAACCGCGCTAAATATAGCGGGAAAATTGACGTCACGTGACCTTAACGCCAATTCAATTCCATGCTGTATTTAGAGAGAAATTGAATTTTTGTAGAAATCACGTGAAGTCAATTTTCCCGCCAAATCTTGCGGAGAAACTGAATTTCTTTATGGGTGAGGTTACAACAAGTCATGTGACGTCATTTTCCACGCTACATTTAGCGGGAAAACGGAATTGGAGGAGGATTGGAGAAGAGGGGATGGAGGAGGAGGAAGAGGAGAAGACGAGGGGAGGAGGAGGAGCATACCCTCCCCTCCGTACCCTACCCTCCTCCTCCTCGAGAGCTGCGCTCTAATTTCGCATTCAGGGGATTTGTGAACTTCTTTCATGTTTTCTACTGATCGTAACCCTCACCGTGCGATTTTTTACCACTATTATATGCTCCTGGGCGGAATATTCCATTGGCCATACAATATTGCAGTGGCACCCCTGAGGAATCGAAAGGATAAAACGTTGACAGGGATGTTTTTGTGGCCTATTCATATTTTGAAAGAAACTATAGCCGGTGACAGGTCAAGAACGAAGTGGAATCTCCTTCCACCCCTTTCCACTTCAGCAAAGCGAGCGGTGGAGAGGAGGTCGCCTTCTCTCCAGCCTTCGCTCTACTAAAGTGGAAAGAGGTGGGAGGAGCTTCCACGTCGTTTTTGAACTGTCACCGACCTTTTTTATAGAGAGCATCTAAACCCCCTTTTGTTCGGAAAGATAGGCGTGGAATCTAGTTGTAAAATTAGTCGCCTGTGGAAGTACCTTTTTTTAGAGCGCAGCTCTTAGGTGCCTGTTTCCGGCTTGAGCGGCGTCGGCGTCGCAGTCGCCGTCGGCGTAACTGCACGGTGCATCATGGGAAATGTCCCATAATGCCCCGCGCGGGACCCTATACTTCGTTTCAGCTTCGCTCCAGAAGCAGCCGATGCTACAAGCGCGAGCATGTGGCCCAGAGCAGTGCTTGCACTGCACGAGCGCGCGTGCTTGGCAGGGATGCTGAAAGCCCGGAGCTCGCGCTTGTAGCTTTGGCTGCGTCTGGACCGAAGCTGAAACGAAGTATAGTGATGTCACTCGTGACGTCACGAGAGTCTCGCGCGGTGCATTATGGGACATTTCCCGTAATGCACTGCGCGGGGAGGAAGAGGAGGGAGGAGGACAAGGGGGAGGGGAGAAGCAGGGGGAGGATGGGAAGAGGAGGAGTCTACGAGGGAGGAGGAGGAACGAGGAGACGGAGGGAGGAGGAGGATGGAGGAGAAGGGGAAGAGGAGAAGGGAAGATGGAGAGGAGGAGGGATAAGGAGGGAAGGTGGAGAGGGCGGAGGATGAGAGGAGGGGAAGGGCTTGAAGGATGAGGGGAGGACGAGGAGGGGATGAGGAGGAAGGAAGCAGGAGGACGAGGAGGAAGAGGAGGGAGGAGGGGAGGACGAGTAGCAGGGAGGATGAGGAAGTTGCGAGGGAGAAGGAGTATACCCTCCCCTCAGTACCCTTCCCTCCTCCTTCTTAAGAGCTGCGCTCTAATTCGGCGTTACAGCTTGTTGTAAACGTCTTTCATTTTTTGGGGGAATGTGGTCAAACAAAATAAGAAATCTTTTTTTTTATATTCAATTCTCTCGTAACAGAGACCGATGGTCTCTGTTATATGATATATGAAAACATACCCCAAATTTGATTCAATGGTGTGTTTTTTTTTAATTTTATTTCAATTTTACTTTTAATACAAGTTCAAACGGCCTATCTGAAATGATGTGTTCCCTGCAACGAGGCATTCCCGAATATTTCGAAGCATGTCTAAAAGGGTTATTCTTATTTCTATTAACTTGCACATTATTAAAGTGACAGCTTTAATTGCGTTCAAAGTTTTGATTAGTGGAGTTATCCACTCATACAAAAACTTTACTCTAGGAAAATAAATTTGCAGATATGTTATTTTGTTCTTTCTTGGTTTTCTTTTCGCCAACAATTACTGATTACGCTAACCATGGTATGTATAAACTATACCTAGTCACAAAATGACAATTTTTCTTTCCACATGACGAGTGTTTCTGCGAGAACATTCAGTCTCCTACTAATAGTGTGACTCGGAAGAAATAAAAAGGAACTTTTTGGAAACAAAGTCTTAGCCACGAGACACGTCAGGGGTAGCAAAGAACATACTAACTATTCAAATAATAACTTAATATTAACTAACTATTTAATGGCTTAATTCGTGAAAAGAAACACAGTTATATTAGGAAACTTCAAAATGTCATCGAAAACCGCCAAAATGATAAATTTTGGGGGACTCAAACCACATGCAGAACGAGAGTGCACTAAACTTTCCGCTCGTGGAACAGGCGGAAGGCTGGCGATACGACAACGCGGATAAAACATATCGGCGTTTTTGGATCGGCATTCTCCCTGCTGTACAAGTGGGAGCTTTAGCGTGCCCCCGCACTTTTCATGTGCTTCAAGTCCTCCTAATATTGACCGATTTAGGGATTATCGATGACCATCAGCCAGTTTCTCAATTGGGCCATATGTTTATTTTTTCTTATTAAAAACGTAAGCCGAAAGTTTTCAGTAATTATTTTGCTAATTCGCGCTAGTGAAGAGAGTTTCTTATTTTTTCAAACACCTTCTTTGTAGAGACGTTTGAAAAGTATTTACAGAAACAACCGCAATATAGGTGTATGTATATAAAGTATATGCATGGGTTTGTTATAGGATACCAAGTTTGGGTCAAAGGAGATCCTTCAACCAGAACCTGTAGCATCCCATACCTTTGCACATTCCTGTTCGAAGCCTGCGCTGGACGAAGAAAATACTTTGCATATGACAGGCGTATATGTTCTAAAATTAAACATAAGAGTCCCAACAGCGGGCTCACTAGAGAACACCGAAGCCTGCAATGAATTTCTCTCCACCTTTTGAACTGTGGAGACACCCAGACTCTGTTTAATAAAGTGTTGTGATAACTCGGGCTGTTATGACTGTTGGTGTTCACCAGAACTCCGAGGCATTTTGAAAGTTTTGTAACCACTATACACCCGGTATGTCCAGTGCTTATCAGACTTTGCTATCCTGGCGGCAGCCGAAGAACTTCTACATGACGTAGCCATAAGGGGATCAGCCCGAACAGGGGCAGGCCGCTCGCTTAATGTTGAAAGGGAGGCTGGACCATGAACAACGCAGCAATATTTCCAGACAATCAACCTCCACGTATCGTCATTCCCCTCACTCTAAGCTGCACATGGCTCGGCTTGAATTGGCAATGATTGGATGGCACAATCAGTAGGAAATTTATGTTTTTAGTGAATGATCGAGCCATGCTGATGATTCCAGCAGTCACTTAAGTACCGCAAAGAGAGGGGTTTAACAAAAAGCGTCCCCGAGATGCAAACGTCTGCCTTCAGCAAATGTCCTCCCCTGCGCTTGCTATTCCTCCGAGTACTACATCCTACAGAACTTGTTTACGCTGCTACCAGGATAGCGCTTTTAGTACGTAAGACATATAGATCACCTTTTCCACATACGTTTGGTGAGCCCTGTACAGTGGTTGCCAAACTTATACGGAACATTCAAACGCCTTATTTCTTAGGAGCGCTAACCTAGAGGCCGTCGATGAACTGCTCGATGACCCGGTGCTCGACAGAGCTGGGGGAGGCCGCTCGCTGAAGGTAGAAATTAAAGCTGCACAATGGTCTCTGCATCACTTTTTCCTGCCTGCAAACTTATAAGTTTGCAGGCAGGACGAAGGTGCATAGGCGACTGCTGAAGCCGTCAGTAATAAGATTGCACAATCAGTAGGAATTGTATGATTCTTTCTCAATGAGTCATTCAGGAACGAACTATTTCGACAGTCTCCAAGGCATCGTAGTACCAGGGGGTGGCGAATAGCACGGGTTGCCCATCAGGCGAAATGGCTGTGGTATTGATGGTCCAGGCGTGATTCCGGGGCTGGGAGAGCGGCTTGGCCTGCTAGGGTTGGATCTATCGAGCGCTATGTCATGAGCCAGTTCCTCGGACGTGGCCAGGATAGCTCCACCATAAGATAACAGGTCATTGAGGAATTCCGTATAAGTTTTGGGAGCACTGTACATTGCGTCACAAGACACTAAAAAGGCATTGGCGCTTCTAAATGCGACAGCATTTATTATCGAACAGGACGCACTTAAGGGTCCGTTGCTCGGTTTGTAACCAACGAGGCAGGCGGCCATGCATCTGTTATATACTTACTACAATTTGGTATATAGGGGGTAGTGCGCAATGCTACAACAAACGTCGTTGGTTAGTCGAGGGAAGTAGAGAGTTAGACCAGTAATATGCTTATTGGTTTTAATTATGATTTTGTCACTGACAGCTTATAAACCCCCGAGTGGGCCTAAAGTCCCTTTATACCGAAAAGTAGTGACATCCTTTGAAGAACGCCGCCTGATATCTTCGAGCGATCCAGGCGGTGCTACCGTCGACGCGCAAGACTGCGAATGAGCAAAAATTAAAGGAGCGTACACAGGCAAGGAGCAGTCGCCCTCCAATCAAGTAACGCCCGAAAGTGTCACGTCACGGCTTCCGGCGTCTTTCTTCGAGAATGCGCTTCGCGGCTCATCCGCTTGCACGCAAAGGGTCTACCGAGACATGCTCTTTAGTCCAAGTATAACTTGGGGCGATCCAGCCGGCGCTGCGGTCGACGCGCGGGTGTAAAACAGCGGAACATAAAGACAAAATGTGTGCGCGTCAGAGCAGGAGGGAGAAGATGTCGCTACCTTTCTTATTCAGGAACCTTAGGTGAGCCTAATTCAGTTCATGTACCTGGCTTAGTTCTTGTTCCTCTGTATTCTTATTGGCTAATCTTTGCATTTTATTTGCCGCGGAGACGTAATGGGGGGGGGGGGGGGGGGGGGGGGAGCTCGAAGCTTGCCATGCCCCACATTTCATAACCTGTCAGTGTTTATAATCAAGTTAATGCACATCGACAAAAAATACTTACATAGTTCATACAACAGTTAGTGATCAGTTTTTATAAAGAATAGTTTAGGCACTACAAGATGCTTCAAAATGCTATCGCAGATATAAAACAAATCTGTGCAGCGATTTAGGCAAAACATTTTTTTTAGCATTTTAATGAAATAATGTTTTTATGGACTGGACACAAAATTTCAACTCACAACAGAGTAAAAGCAAGCTTCCTCGATTACTAGTGTTGATAAGTGCCATTCAGTTATTAGAAAAAATAACTAAAATTGACGATCTCTGTAATATTTTTTTATTCATCTCTGAAATTCATGGAGAGGTGACTCTTTTCGCATATAATACTTCTGGCAGTCAGTAAAAACAGCGAAATGAGCTAGCTCGGTCATTAACAAGCAAGACGCTTCATGCGCCCACATGATTCTCAGTGACACAACGCCAACCATTTTTTTTTTATCTTAAAGCGTCTTTTTTTTTTGCTACCTTTTTCACCAAATTTATTGCATGTGATTTTCTAAACAAGCGTTGTCTTTCGTAGTGCTCTTCGGAAATGCAGACGTATACATACTTTGCAAAGTGTGATGCCGAAGTTAGAAGAACGAAAGCAAATTTCCCCCAACCATTTGACAATATTTATTTATATTGTTTCCATCGTCTTAAGGGGCAACACCTGTCAATTCCAAGAAATTTCAGTCAATTGTTGATTATATATTTCGGGGAAGTAATAAACGATTCTACGTTCTTTATTTCAAAAATAAAGTGTCATACTTTTCGCGACATCATTATTTAAAACTTACCACAAACCGAAACCAAAACCTTGCCGGCGGAGGGGCAACATTGCTCCTGTGTCGTCACCTACATGCTCTAACCACGTGGTTCAAATTTTCATGTCGCGCAGCAAGCGGGGTAATTCATCTGGACATGTTCCTGCAAGCTACAAGCGCGGCTTTTGATATATTTGACTGCAATCCGTAGCGCGTGCAAAACTCGAGACAAAATTTAGCTCCTTACATTAAAAAAAATAAAATTCCCCCCCAAAATCTTATTATGCTGTACTTTTTTTATTACCTCCGAATGTTGTTTTACGTAGCTTTTTGAGCCTGAGCACGACGTTGGATGCTATATAGTGCAGTCCGAGTAGTCCTCCTTTTAATATTTTTAATATTTGTTACGGAATTTATGCGGGTCATATTGTGGTGTTTGTTTTACTAGACGCACGTCTAAGCGCGAGTCCCACTGCTTATACATCATACAAAAGACAGTCTGCAGATATCAGTCACAACGATATCCGAGGTTCGAACGCCGGTGTCAAGTGTCTCCTGGAACTCATTGCCATGCGGGGTTTAAAGCTCAGATCTCGTGATGACTCGCGTTCGAAAGTGTTTGCAGACTGTCTTTTGTATGATATATATGCAGTGTGACACGGACTTTAGGGAAAAAATGATGGTGGTGAGATACGACCACATCGCAATGATTTCGCCATTTTTTTTTTATAAACTTCTTGATAATTGTAGGTTCTGATTCAAAAGGTTGGGCGTTGACTGTAAACGTCTAGTTTCTGGCGCATGTAGCACAGATTACCGTATCCCATTTTGTGATGTAACTTAATTAATATGAAAACAGACAATGCGATCTTAAATAAGAAGTCATCTGATTTATTTATAAATTTTAACCTCGTTCGAACCTGACTTATTCGTTCATCCAACCAGGTATATTTACAGATTCCAAGCCTAGAATTTTTAAGTTAGACGCGAAGTACTTTGCGATGCAATGGCTTCAAGCAGTTTCTTTTGATACGCTACCCTGTCTGTCATAATCGTGTCTATGTCGACCTGGAATGGCTGAAGAAACTTCTCTATCACAATCCCAGAATTTTTTGCCTCATGGTCATCTCTTGTAGAGCAAATGAAACTAAAAAAAAAAGGTTCGCTCCTCAATAGAAACAATCATGCTGTACCTTTTTTTTATATTTGCAGTTGTTTTACGTAGTTTTTCGATCCTAAGCACAACGTTTGGAACTGCAAAAGTGCAGTCATCGTGTCTTTCTTCTTTTCATATTTTGTTATTAGTTATTACGTGAATTATGCAGGTCATATTGTTGTTTGTTTGTACTATATGCACGCTTACGGTAAAAACTATGGTGGTAAGATACGACCGCCTCGCAATGATTTTGCCATTTTTTTTATGAACTTCGTCATATTTGAAAGTATACTAATACAGCAGGTAGATAGTCTTCTAGTAACCGTCTAGTTTTTGGCACCATGTAGCACAAACCATCACATCCCGTTATATAGCTAGAACTTTGTGATGTAACTTGTTATGCAAAGAGACAATGAGATCTAAAAAAAATAATTCTTGTTTATTTATATATTCTAACCATGTTCCGACCTGTTTGTTTATGTTATTCCAACTTTCACCCTGCTTTATTTACAGATTCCAAACCTTGAAGTTTGAGATTAGATGCGGAGTACTTTTTCGATGCAGTGGCCTCGAACACAGTTTTTCTCGATAGGCTGCCCTGTTTCTCACAGTCGTGCCTATGTTTAGGAATGGCCGTACAAATTTCTATATTACTCTCTTCGAAGTTTGTGCCGCATGGTCATCTCTTGTTGGGCACGCTAGGAGGGGGCACCTCTAAATATGGCAAAAATCAGTGCTGTCAACTCTTTAGGCATTCCGACAGCCGGCCTGGCCAGGCCCGACGCTAATTTTCAAGAGCCAGCTGCTGCTACATTTTACTCCAATATGAATAGCTCACGAAACGCGCCGCATGGAAAACTCGCTTGCCACTGCTACACATAATTTGATTAAGGTACCCAGTAGTCAATGCTGGAAGCATCCTTTTTTTTTTTTTTTGCTGCTATTACGACAGGTTAATCTGAAGGCCTGGGCAGCTTGCTAAGAAAAATCACCCCTGACGTCCTTTTCTGCAACCAAATTCGCG